TAGCTTTGTCGTAGAAGGCCACTAAATAAGTTAGGCACGACTGGCCCCTAGTTAAGCCATATTGGCTGTCACTAACCACTTGATGATTTTTTTATGTGGCTTAGTACGGCTGCCAGGAGAATCTGTTCCATGATTTTACCTGGCACAGAGGTAAGGCTGAGGTAAGGTTGAACTCGATGATCCCAAGGATCTTGTCCAATCTCAATGATTCTGTGATTCAGTGATACATAGGATACATATAGGATTTCTCTGTTCTGCACGTGCCCATTTGTGTCCCATCAGTGGTGGGCTGCCTCTCTCACACAGAGCTTGTTTTAACTGGAACACTGGAAATACTGGAGAAAACACCTTGGGAACAGGAGAACCATCTTACAGCAGCCTAAGGAGGCTCGATTAGATGTGGCGAAAAGCAAGCAGCAGACATGGATTCCAGGCGCAATGTCATTTTGCAGTAGATCTATTTAAAATCACCCGTCTTTCATGCTTTCAAAAGCAAGTCAGTTTTAATTTGCATCTGTGTATGTCATCCAGGAATGTGGAGAATTGTGACAAAACTGTGCCTCAGACTGGAGGAAGGAACATCCCTCGGTAGGGCCACTTGTGACAGGACATCACTGCTGTCTTCTGTCATTTTTGTGAAGTTTTAAAAAAACCGAGCCTGTCTTTGCCAAGGTTGCAGTAACACCTTCTTGAAAAGATGTGTAGTAATGTACATTATATTAAATGTACATTAAAAAGAAAACAAAACACCACAACAGGGCCATTCTGATGCTGACGGGGATGTGAATGGCTCTGCAGTCCCTGCAATGTGTCTTGGCATATTTTTAGATAACAGATAAAATGTTATGTATTACTGGTTATTTAAAATATTTTCTTTGCTTTCTCGAAGGGCATTTTTCCTGCCTCATATATACATCTTAAGGAAGCAATAGTTGAAGGCAAAGGGTAAGTTTGATCAGAAAATAATGAAAATCCGTTTTCCTCTCTGTATCTACATAACTTCCAGATCATTTATGCTCATTTTCAGTTTGTTAAGGAGCTGATGACAAAAATGTGTGTGTTTAAAAATATTTTAAATTGGTAACTCGCCTCGAGTTTGAAGATGCTGTCATCAGCAGGGCTTCTGGCTGCTCCTGTCCTGAGCTACATCACCATGTAGTTCAGCTAAAGCATAACCTTCTCTGGATTACTGTAAATGTTTCAGAATAATTAATAATTTACCATTTTTCTTTATAATTTCTACTACCCTCTTGACCAATAATTATCTAGATTAACTTTCTCAGCTCCCTGCCCCTTACTTTAGCTCTAATTTCAATGCTGCCAACTTCTTTTATCTTCCAGCCTTTGAGTTATATGGCTTCTGCCTGGTATGTTAAGGACCTTTGATACAAGATAGCTTTCTTTTATGCAGATTAAATTTAAGTAATTTCTTAATTCCCTCTTTAATAAGTCTTGTAGACTGAACTTGCAGAAAGCCATTATCCAGGAATCGTTGTCTGCCTCGCTGTTTTGTCAAAACTGTTCATTTTGTGATTTTCCTCTTCCCTGATGTGTGTGACACTAAATAGTTTGGGCTATTTTTTAATTTATTTAACAGCTGTTAAATTTCAGATCTTTATCTAATAAGCTTTGGCAGACATGCATGTAAAAGTTTCTAACGTGGATACCAAAGTTGAGTTAAAAAACAGGAAGAAACCCCAACCAAATCCCGGGGTGGGGGGGAAGAAAAAGTGGAGTGAATTAATAAATAATTAGCCAGGTATGAAATGGAGTGAAACAGGATTAAAGTATTTTGTTCCTTTGTGCCTGATTTATTTTTATACACTGTTAAATATGGAAATGATAAAGCTACTAATCATGAGATTGCTGCATAATGACATCTTTCGTGCTGATTACAAGCTGCCTTTAAGTACCCTGCTTCTGAAATATTAAAATATCTTGCTGTTGTTTCTTACTTTTGGAGCACGTGATTTTAAAACATGTCATCCAGAAACTTAATGATTATGGGTTACATGCGTAGCTTCTCGTTGCAGGACTGATATTTTATAAAAAAACAACCTTTACATGTTGGTCTTGTGGCACTGTAGGTTGTGCAGATGTGGCTTTCATCTTGGTTGCTTGCTTCTTGTAAAATCAGTATCTCAGTAACAAATGCTGTGGTGACGTATGTAGCGATATCCTCATCTTGTGAGTTTAGAAATAAGGTGAGGGAGGAAAAAAATAAAAGCATGTACCCTGTAGCATAGTCTCAGCCCAGTGAATTTCCTTTATGCCATGTGGCTATACTAATGTGCGCTGCTTCTCTGTCTGATAATACATTCATTTTTAACTTATTTATGATAAGTGTTGTTATTTTCAACCCTGTCGTTACTGAATTGTCTTTGGAAACGAATGATTCCTTCAGAACAATTCTGCCATCCTACCCAAAGCTACTGCTTAATTCAAACAACTTTTTTTTTTTTTTTAGTACTGCTTAATTCAAACTTTTTTTTTTCCCCCTTCTCTTCTTAAGACAACATGAAACAGTTATACCCAACGAGCTGCCCTTGATTCAGGAGGTGACCACAACGCTGCGGGAATGGTCTATCATATGGCGACAGCTATATGTTGTAAGTGTCAGCTTAAGAAAACATTTACTGTCGTATATGGTTTGTGGCAAAAAAAGAAGTGATGCTGTGAAGAGTAAGAGTAAAGAGCTGTTAATGAAATTCCCCTTCTGTTACTATTTCTAAAGGCTACTTCTGATGCTGAAAAGCTATTTAGAATAATCTGTGAGGCACAAATCTCATTAGTGTTTCTTTTGAGCATCTTCCCAAATAGGGTGTATTTCTTGTGGAAGTTTTTACATCGTTACCTTGATCTAGCGACAAGTTGTTGAGCAATTAGGATCCCTTTTCCGTTTGGTACTGTTAGACAGAATGCGTTGGATTTTTGAGACGCGTCTTAAGTTTTTCCAAATCTGTAGACAGCGGTGTTAAAGAAATGAAGAAAATGGTTTTGAAGGCAGTTCTTAAGGCTGTTGGTGTGTGTTATGAAAAAAATTGAATATTTGGAGTTGAATTTGTGGATGTAAACTTTGAAAAATCATCAGAAGCTTTTTACCTCTCTGTATTCTTGAAGTTGATTGTTTCCAACATATCCTCACCTTAAGTTACATACCTTTTTATATTCGTACGTGCTTGGAACTTAAGCATGTCTTCTTAGAAATTTATAGCAATAAGCATTTGCATTGACAGTCTCTCAGGTGGGATAACAGAAAGATACAATAGCTGTGAAAACTACACAGATGAAGTGCTTGTAAGTAAGGCCTAAACAGCATTGGAACGTACACTCAGAAGTGCAGTTTGGGCATGAATCAAGAGCGTGCTGGAGGAGGTAAGGTGCCCCAGCTCAGAATTCCCATGCTCTTGGTGGGTAAGGTCACTGTGACGAGATAACGGGGACGTGAAAGTCTTATATTTAAAGTTGGGTTTAATGTGGAGTTGCTGTTCCTTATAAATGTTTGAAATCTTCCGTCGTCAAAGTGCAAGCTGTCTGATGGGGGCACTGCCTGGAAATGAAGATGTTTGTGTTGACTAAGGGAGTTTTTAATCACACCCATGAAAATAAAGATTAGAAATACAGCGTGCTGCAAGTGATGCAGCGTTGCGGCAGCTGAGATGGTAGATAATATCTTCTGCAAAGAGAAACAGATTACTTATTAAAGACAGAGCTTTAATGTGATGTGATACTGGAGAGGTCATGTGTTGAGGAGCAAGAAAGGAGTAGTCAGGCAGAAGCAAACCAGGAGGAGCAGGATCTAGAGAAGGCACTGAGAACAGCTCTGCTTTTGGTTCTACTGCTGGGTACTGCTGAGGAGAGCGAGGATTATGTTTTGACCATGATGTCTGTCTTTTTTTTTGGGGTAGGGGAGGATTATCCTGAGTAGGAAATCTGATCCAGCTTTGAAGTCAGAGAAATACCACTTGTGGAATGGCACAAGACCTGTTTGCGGTGCGCATATCGTAAGAAAGGAGGAATAGCAAGAGACAGTGTTAGAAGTTTTCCTACTGAGACTCATGTTTGCTTTTTGTAGCGGTAACTTTAGGAGAAAATTCTTCTGGCATGGGAATCACTTACTCTTTTGGCTAATGTTTAACGTCTCTTTTGTTGTGCATTTACTTCCATGAAGAGACAGGAGCAGCTAAACACCCCTTTGAGTTGGAGGGGAGGCGAGGTGTGATGCAGCCAGTGGCCTCAGTTCGGTGGCAGAAATGATTCAGGTCCCTTCTACAGCTTTACTCTGAGTAGGTAGATCACATGAGGAGTTTGTTTACAGTTTGTATCTCAGGGGTATCTGCTAGATTAATTGTACATGGCCAACCGCCAAAAAGAACGTCAGAGAGCTGGGATTGCGTTGTCACGGGAAGTTGGGTTTGCTGGAGGGAGCTGATTTCAAACCGAGCAGTCTTACTGAGATATTCCACGATGTCCACAACCTGTGTATCAGAAGTCATTAAATGACACGTTTATGCCTTACTCGGTTTACAATTTGTGTTTGACTGTTGCATAGGTGTTTGGTTTTGATTTACAGAGAGCAGAGGACATGGCGTGTTCTTCATCTCCCCGGTTTATGATTGCCTGCAGCACTGAAAATCATGAACCTCTTTCCCATTTGGATTTGTCTGTGTTTAGCTTCCAGCCATATGTGCCTGTTGTGTCTTTCTCTGCTACATTAAAGAGCTTTTAATAACGGGTATTTTCTCTCTGTGAAGGTTCTCACACTGTAATCAAGCCAGCTTTTTGATAATCTGAACAGACTGAAGTCTTTAAGTTTCACAGTTAGACAATTTTTTTTTTTCCTGAGCCTGAGTCATTCAATTCTTTCCCTGCCCTTTCTGCAGTTTTTCATTGTCTTTTTTATATTGTGGAGAATTTTATTTTAATTATTTCATTATACCAGTTGTTCTCAGTCAGATAAGGCCATGATGCAGTCCGAATGAAAGTTAGCTATGTGTAACCTGAATAATTCGTCCATGTAGGATGATGTTTAGAAAGATATGTTCTTTTTAAGGATATATTGAACTAATAGCTTAGATTTGGAGGCTTATAAAGACAGAGACTGCCTCTGGGTAAGATCAAAACACTCAGGGCCTCTGCGTTGTCTTTGTATTTCCCCACGTGAGTTTTGTGTGGGATCAGTTGTTTGCACTCAGACTGAGGGGCTGCGCTGTCCACAGTTCAAACCAACAAGTCAAATTCTGGTTTGTGGTTCTAGATTTGATCTTTTGTCTCTGAATGCACTTGTGTGTGGGCATGCATATAGAAATTCTTCTGGAAAAGAGGTGCCTTCCATATAAGCTTGGAACTGTGTCTTCCTATGTCCTGGCTTGGCTAAATATTGCCAGGGAAGGTTTGTGCGTGCTGCTGGCACTGCTTAATGCCCATAGTCACAGCTTTTGTAAGCAATTAAGGTATTTAACTTCTCATGAGGTTTAGAGCTTTCCCGGTTTTTCAGTTTCCTTCAGTGTTACCTGTGGACTTGTAAGATTTGCATGCTGAGGGAATTTAAAGTGTTACTCTGAAGGTTTAACTAGGGATGGGGAAAAGGGTTCTGTAACAGGTTGCAGATGGAGTTTTGCAGCACTTGAGCCTCTTGCTGTTAAAATGCACCAGTTTTAGTCCTGTTCTACTCAGCGTAGAGAGTCACTGAGCAAGAGTTACTCTGTGAACCCAGAAAGGGATCTCTTCCCCTTGAATGCCTCTTCTGCATACAGTATGGCATGGGTTCAAGCATTTGCACTTACTTACATAACTAAAGCAGAGGGTGAGACTCCTTGTATTTGGTGTTTGGTGCTGTAGAAGGTTTAGGTTCCTATCTGAGAGCTATTTGTGGATTTTTACCCTCTTGAGTTCATATTTTGTAATTGCAACTTATTATACATATAAGAAGATGCTCGGTGCACTTCAAAATTAACTTCTCTCCATCTTTTTCCTCCAAATAGCAAGATAACAGAGAAATGTTTCGCAGCGTGCGGCACATGATATATGATCTGATTGAGTGGAGATCTCAGATACTGTCTGGGACCCTACCCCAAGATGAGCTCAAAGAACTGAAGAAGAAAGTGACTGCAAAAATCGATTACGGCAACAGGTTTGTGGACAATATTTTCCAGGCCTTTATGCTTAAAATTGAATCAGCTTGTGTAATGCACATCAGCTGCCAGTGAGTTCTTGCAAGATTGTTTTAGGCCCTGTTAGGACAAGTTGATATCACATTTTTAAAGGAGAGGACCAGTATAATCTCTAAAGTGGAATCCCTATGTAACTCTTTCCTTTGCTTGATGATATGATCAACTTGATACTGGTATGAAGCTGTAATTTCTAAAGTCAGTTGAAAAGTGCAAGTAGAGCCTCCATTCAAAATGTAATTTAGAGTTTGCTTGCTTCTGCAGCATAAACAATTGTTGCCTTCTCAAAACCACCAGCTGCATGTGGCTCGAAGTCACTCAGCTGCCACGGGACGTGGAAGGACTTGGCTCGGAAGCATCATCTAGCTCAGTGTTCCTCTACGTGTGTGGTATCCAGCTTGTACCAGCAGGTTAACAGACAGATTTAATAAAAGAAAGTAACAGAATAACAGAAGAGAATGGAAATTGTGAAGGAAATATTTATCAAAAAGAAAAGGCAGCAGTATGGGTTGCATCCATCAGATATGTTAGTACAGATGAACTGACTCTCCAAACTGTAGTCTGGTTTTTTTGCTAAATGTAAGTTTTAGGTTACGTTCCGTTTTGATTGAAAACTAGAAATTATATCTTACTCTTCAGTCAGGAAATTATTGGAAGCGATATTTTGAGTGCTGAGAGAGTGTTGTAGGACTGCACACCTGGGGACCAAAGAAATTTTCAGCAAACCAGTCTTTAAATCCCTTGGGATTCAAATAGCTCCTCAAATTTCAGCTATTTGTGTTTTATTCCTTGAGAATTGCCAAATTTGCGGTATTTCTGCTACGCACTTTATCAGCAAAAGCTGCGATTTATTTAAAAAAAAATCATCAGTAACTGCATTCAGTCAGTAATTAGGATTTATAATGCAAGGTATGGACTGTTGTACCTCAGTAGACAGTTAACCAGATGTTGTTGATCCTATTTGTTTGGCTACTGTATTTCACCATCTGGCTGAGGAGTTGGTTAAAGTTACTCTCAATAACCTCCAGATGCTCAGCATTCAGATACAATGGAATGTCTTGTGCTGTGCTTTATATTTGTAGTGTTCTCATGGACTAATTAAGTGATCAGAACGTTCTCAGTGGAGTGCAGGAGGGAAGAGGATTTGAACTTTTGAGTAAATACTCAGGACTGAAAGCTGCCATATGTTTCTGATGCAGTCGTAGAGTCCCTTCTGTCTAAAGGGAGCACAAATGATGATTTCAATACCCAGGGAGAACGAATTCGTTACAAGGTTTTATAAAAGTTTTCTGATCTAATCGTATCCTGACTTTGCCTGTTTCGTGAAGTACTAATTTGCAAATAAGGGTGGTTTTTTTATTTCTATAAATGGATTCAACAGTTTTACTGCATGTTGTCAAAATAACTGAGGCAGTAAAAGCGGTCTCATGAGTTTGTATTTTTAATGTTTTCCTGAAATGGGGTCAGGTAATTTTGTTGTGAAAACAACTTTTTTGTTCAGTTGCAGAAATCCGTAACTGGGACACTTAGGAGGAAGAAAAAAAAAATATATTTTTTTTTTTTGCAAGCATCATTTACAAGTTAAAGAATAAACTAAAGAAATTAAGTCAAAGGAGCGTTTGCTTCTATTTATTTGACAGTCTGTACAAACGTTCTTGCTCTGTGGGTGTGCAGTAAGCTGGGTGATCCGTCTCCTGTTGTTCTTCTCTCATGACTGTGGGGACTTACTCTCAGATAAACCACAAACCTCTGTGGGACTTATCAGACTCTGTAGGTTTGATTTAAGCTCATTTGTCAAACATATCTCAAATCCAAAGCTCCACCATCAAAAGAGGTGGCTACGGAGTTAGAAGAAGAAAATAGGGACCGTGGGAGTTTAAGTGGAGGTGAGGAGGTTGGCCTTAAGGAAGATACGTACACAAATGCAAGTTGACCTAGGCTTTATTTTCTTTTTTTTTTTAATCCTTGGTTCTGCTGCAAGCGCTGTACTAACACGAAAAAATGTGAAAGGTCTTTCCTAAAACTGGGTTTGATTATGGTGGGAAACTTCCTCTTTGCAGAAGGTAATCGTGGCTGTTAACACCCTGCTGATGGGAATCTGGCTTCTGCTGTAAATAAAGGGAAACAACTTATACCTTCTGCCTCGTAGATCTTTGCTAAAACATGAGGATGTCTGCCTTGGAGGAGAGTGTGGAGTGGGACGAAGTGAACTGCCTATTTTCTCTGTGGTGTGACTAGTGGTTGGTTGTTCAAGCTGTCAGATGAATTGGAGGAGGAGACAAAATCTCTTGCAAATTTAGTTGTTCAAGAAATCAATTCGCCAGCTGTTCTGCTCTTTCATTTGCATTGATTCTTACCGTGCTGTCGGAAGAAGTGACTTACAGCCAGGGATGGTTATCTCTGGAGTTGATGACATGTTAAATTGTTTTATCATGTATCAAATAATTTTTTTCCTGTCATACATCAGGTGTGCGTGACTTCCCTGTTAAATACTTGACAGAGATGTTTTAAGCTTTCATTTGAGCCCCTTTAATTCAGTAACATTTTGTTGTTGTTTTTTGTTTAGAATTCTTGACTTAGATCTGGTTGTTAGAGATGAAGATGGCAATATTTTGGACCCAGAGCAGACCAGCACGATTAGTCTTTTCAGAGCTCATGAAGTAGCTTCCAAGCAAGTTGAAGAGAGGCTGCAGGAGGAAAAAGTAAGATATGCTCTGCACTGTAGCACTTCCCTTGGAAATGCAAGACTAAATTAACTATGTGACTGTTGCTTTTTACCATTGGTAATGAAGAGTTTCATGTGCTTATGAAGAGTTACAGGCTTAAACATTTTGTGAGAACTTGTTTGGTTTAGGCTGTTTGATTGTCAGTTTTATTCTTTAAAAGGCCTAGTAGAATTTACGATTAATATCAGAATTGTAGGTTAATATCAGGCACACACATGTAGCAGGTTTGTATATTAGGTTGTCATGAGTGCTTATTTTTGAGAATCACGTAGAGAAGTGTCCTCATTGTGTTTGTATGACCTCTGTATGCCAGTCCTGAAAATCTGTTTGTTGAAATACAAGGGGCAAATTTAAAGATGTTCTCGGATTCTTGATTGCTGCTCTGCAATTCAAATCGTTATTTTTTAAAAGGAGGAATGTGTCTGTTGTGAGGAGTCCATATAGCAGTTAGGTGATTGTTAAGCAAAGTTAAACGTAATATTTTTCTGTCCTTGAATTGCAGTCACAGAAGCAGAATATCGATATCAACAGACAAGCCAAGTTTGCTGCCACTCCTTCATTTGCTTTATTTGTAAATTTGAAAAATGTAGTCTGTAAAATAGGGGAGGATGCTGAAGTCCTGATGTCTCTGTATGATCCACTGGAATCCAAATTTATCAGGTTAGTGTACTCCTGAGTATACTCGGTAATTTCTTACAGCAGCAGGGTGAGAGGGCTTATGAGTCAAATCATAGAATCGTGGGATGGTTCAGGTTGGAAGAGACCTTGAAGATCATCTTGTTCCAACACCCCTGCTGTGGGCAGGGACACCTCTCTCCCACCAGACCAGGTTGCTCAGTGCTCCATCCAGCCTGGCCTTGAACACCTCCAGGGACGGGGCATCCGCAGCCTGCTTGGGCACCCTGTGCCAGTGCTTCACCACTCTCATGGGGAAGAGTTTTTTCCTTTTATCTAATCTAAATCTACCTTCTTTCTGTTTCAGGCCATTGCCCCTTGTCCTATCCCTACAGGCCCTTGTAGAAAGCCCTTCTCCAGCTTTCCTGTAGCACCTTTCACGTACTGGCAGGCTGCTATTAGGTGACACTGGAGCCTTCACTTCATTAATAACCCCAGCTCTCTCAGCCTGTCTTCATAGCAGAGCTATTCCATCCTTCTAATCATCTTCTTGGCCCTCCTCTGGATCCACTCCAGCAGGACCATGTCCTTCTCGTACTGTGGGCTCCACAACTGGATGCGGTACTCCAAGTGGGTCCTCAGCAGAGCAGAGCAGAGGGGGAGCATTGCCTCCCTTGACCTCCTGGTCACACTCCTTTGGATGCAGCCCAGGACACGGTTTGCTTTTCGGGCTGCAGGTGCACACTGCTGGCTCACGTTGAACCTCTCGCCAGCTAATGTGCCCAAGTTGCTCCTCTCAGGGCTGCTCTCAATCACTCTCTGCCCAGCCTGTATTTATGTTTGGGATCGCCTCGACCCAGGGGCAGGACCTTAACGCTTGGTGTTATTGAACTTCATGAGGTTGGCCTGGGCCCAGCTCTCCAGCCTGTCAGGGTCCCTCTGGATGACATCCCTTCCCACCAGTGTGTCAACTACTCCGCAGAGTTTGGTGGTGCTGGCAAACTTGCTGGGGGTGTACTCTGTCCCACTGCCCATGTCGCCAACTAAGATGTGAAACAAGACTGGTCCCAGTACCGATCCTTGCGGGACACCACTCGTCACTGGTCTCCACTTGGGCATTGAGCTGTTGATCGCAACTCTTTGAGTGTGACCATGCAGTCAGTTCCTTATCCTTTGAGTAGTCCATTCATCAAACCCATGTCCTTCCAGTTTAGAAACAAGATGTCACGTGGAACAGCGTCAAATGCTTTGCACAAATCCAGGTAGAAGACGTCACTTGCACCTTCCTTGTCCACTGACACTGTGATACTATTGTAGAAGGCCACCAAGTTTGTCAGACACGATTTGTCTTGAAGAAAGTAAAATTTCTGTGAAAGGCATAGGATAGGGTCAGATGAGAAGCACTTTGTTGTCATGTTTGAGGGTGGGGTTGGGCAAGTCCCTTCATCTTGAGTAGGTTTCGAGATCGTGCTTTTTGTCATTGCACTGTGTCTGTGAGCGTTTGAGTCCCACATCCACTTCTTCCTTAAAGAAACTCTTACACGTTGTTGCTGAGGAGCTGCTTTCTTCTTATAAATAACGTACGCAAAGGGAAGTGCTGGCCCTCCACTGAGTAAATACTAATTTGTTTAACTTAAAACTGGGTTTCAACTAGCTTTCTGTAAATGCCGAAATTGATTTTTACATGCTTATGTTGAAGGAAGCCATTTAAACAGAAAGCCCTCAAAATATCGTTCTTTGTTCTTTCAGTGAAAACTACTTGGTGCGCTGGTCAAGCTGTGGACTCCCCAAAGACATAGACAGATTGCATAACCTTCGGGCCGTGTTCACCGTGAGTGTGTGTGCTTGGTTCGGCTGGCAAATCTTAAAGCACCTGTTTTATAGCTTGTGAAAGCTGAGGAATGTGACGATCTGTGTGTAAACGGCGTGGAGGTACCTCTGCCGGTAACGATCCTGGGGAAAACTCACAGGAGACATTTCTCCAAAGTGGGTGCTAAAAATTCTCAGCACTTTGGTTAAAAACAAAGGTAGTTTTTGATGATTTAACTTGCTAGAAATGATTTGGCCTCCTAAGAAGTTAACTTAGGCACAAGTCATGAGATGTTTAAGTACTGTTACAAAAATGCCCTTACTCTGAGAACAGTTTGCTCTGGTGCTAGAGGCTAACACGGCAAAGGCAAATTCTAAGCAGCAAACCTTCTGCCTACCTAAAATTGAACCTAAAATTCAGTTATTATAAAGTAATCTGAAGAAACTCCTATTTCTAGGACCTGGGCAGCAAAGACCTGAAAAGAGAGAAAATCAGTTTTGTCTGTCAGATTGTGCGAGTGGGCAGAATGGAGCTGAGGGATAACAACACGAGAAAACTCACCTCCGGGCTGCGGCGACCTTTTGGAGTAGCAGGTAGCTCTGTGCTCTCTGTCTTTATCACGTTGTATTCTTGCGTAGAGACTTGAGGGTGTCAAACTGCTCTGGGGTTGTATAAACTCAGAATTGTTCCCAGGTCCGGGTTAATAAGACTGGTGGCTCTGGTGCAGATTTTACTGTAGGTTTCAGGACTCAAGTTTAGCTGAAGATGCCAAAGGTTATTTGCAACATGATGTTATCCTGTAGGAAAATCCTGAAATGGCACAGCTGATAATTCCATCCTTCTGATAATTCCAGGGTGTTCCCTCAGCACCCTGCTTCCCATGTTGATCACTTGATTCAGAACACCTTGTTTTTTGTTTTCAGTGATGGATGTTACCGACATAATTAACGGAAAAGTTGATGATGAGGACAAGCAGCACTTCATACCCTTTCAACCGTAAGTAGGGAGTAGCTTAAAGAATAAGCAGAAGCGGAAGAATTCAGATTTTAAATTTCATTTTAAAAAGGAAGCAACATTTTAAACTTTAGATGCAAAGAAGTGTTCTGTAGATATTCTGAAGTTAATTTCAGTGTGGTATTTTATCTTGTGTAGGAGTTACTAATATTTCTTCTTGATCATTTCCTGTTAGTTATAATAGTGATAGGCCCAGAAACTACTTTTTTACAGTTCTTGAGTTTAAAGCATACAATCCCAGTTTTGCAGTCTTTTTGTTTAAAGGGGCCAGAGTGATAACATACAGGAGGTGAAATGCTTAAAATAAGCTCATTGCTGGTTTAGCTCTGCCTGAGAGTGATAATGACAAGCGGTGTTACCAGCACTCACTTCAGGTGACATCTGCTAAATTAGTAAATGACAACATTTATGTTTTTCTTGGTAGCAGGTAGAATTTCATAGTAGGGGCCACAGTAACTGGAATACAAACAAAAGCTGAGAATTCAAAGGATGGCTTGATATACCTCCTGCAATATCTTCTCATAGTTCAACTTGAGCTTGAGGGAATTTTGCCAGAGACCGCAGGGATTTTGGCTGCGTGGTAAGGGAGGAGATATCTGCTGCACACACCTGTTGCAGCTGCTTCAAAGGGTGAAGGACACCAGTTCTGCTACGTGGACCTGGTCTTCCTGGTCTGAAGCTGCAAACCTTTCCTCAGCGACTCTGAGGTTGCTGCCGTGGAGTTTGGCAGATGCTGTTTTACAACAATTAAATCAGCTAATAGCAAATGTGGAGTTGATATCCTTTAAAGTACAGAATTTGATTTCAAAGATCAGCTTTGACTGATCCACAAAACCATATGAAGAGAGACAGGTTTAATAGCCTGAATTTTTGGGAATATGTAGAAAAAATGCTTTTAGAAATAAAAGCTTATTAACAAAAGAGAATGTGTGGCAAATAGTCTGTTCCATCCATAGTTCATAGTTTTTTGGTGGGGTTTTTTTTTTTTTATTCCATGAAATGGGGAAAAGTAGAAGGGAGAGGTCAAATTTAAACGTGCATTAAATGTGCATAAAATACGAATGCTTAGTTTTTTGACTGTGTGGAATGTTAGACTGCCTTCTGTTTAAAACAGGAAAACATAGTTAAGCAAACTAAATTCCTTGATTAATACACTGATGGATATTCAGAGGGTTTTTAATAATATTTTTTTAGAAAGAGCCTGAAATAATGTAATGTCAGATTAACTTTATTTTGGGAAATAGGCTTAATTCAGCAAGCCCTTGTGTTTAGAAGTGCTAGGGCTGCTGAGGGGGCTGCAGGTGCTGACGGGACACGGGTGTGTGCCTCGTGTCCGAGGTGGTTTGGTGTGTCTGCAGCCCTCTTGCTGGAGTGGTGTAGAGTGTGTTAATGTGTAAATCAGAAGCAAAATTCAGTTTTTCAAGGGAAACGAGGTTTTTTTTTTTCGGGGAAGAGTGCATTCGTGATATGTTTATTGTGTGGTAAACAATAGTGAGCTTCTTTTTTTAGCGAGTCTGGAAGTATGCAGTGAAAATGAATCTTTGTATCAAAGTGGATGCTAATGGAACATGTAGTTTTCTGCTCCATTAACACTAATTTATTTTTTCTGTATGTATAAATCAGCTTTTTGAAAAGATGTACAATGTGATTTAGATTTTTTCTTTTACTATTTTTTGCTGCACTGAATTAAAGCATTCTTCTGAAAAAGTGTATTTCAAAGAATATGGATAATGTGAAAACAAACGATGTGTACTGATGTCATTATTTCCAAAGCAGACTTAGACTTTGTATAGATGAGCCACATTTTTCTCCTCATTCCATGCTTTGCCTCTGTTGTACCACACGCGATTCTGTTTTCATCTCTTTGTTTGTTTGTATTCATTCGCTAGCCACCAACACAATGGCTGTCAAAAGCACTTGGCAAGATTACTTAAATGACACTTAATGCTGCTGTTTGATTTATAGTTTCCATCTTTTCATTTATTCATCAAATTTAACAGAACGTTTGGAGTTCTTTCTCTCGCTCTTCTATGCCATTTCTTTGAGATTTACGGTCGCACGTCCTGCCGACAGACCCGCAGAAGCGGCCCCGGAGATGTTGCAGGGCTGGTCTGCTGTATATGTGTCTATATATTTCCAAGAGAGAACTACCTGTATAGCTTTTCACTGCTTGACAGGGGGGGTTCTCAGGTGGGACAGGTCCTTCCTGTCCTCGCAGGGAGTTTCTGGGGCCTGTGCATGTGTGTCCCTGGCGGGAGAAGCGACCAGGCAGGCGTGCTGTACTTCTCTGCGGTAGATCAGCGTTCTTCTGATTAATGATCTTCCTCTGTCTTTCTTGTTACCTCTCCTGTCCTTTGTCTTGCGTTGACTAATAAATGCTCTTTGTCACGACTGTGATACGATCTTTTGTGTTCCCTTGTTACTGTGACTTCTGGTTTTCTGTGACCCTTTGTTTCCTGGTGTTGGTCGTCATGTGCATCCTCCAGGCTAGCGTTGGATGACGCCATTCGACACAAGCAGCTGAACATATCATCCCGTTTTTCACCCAGGGTGGCAGGGGAGAATGATTTCCTTCAGACTGTTATAAACAAAGTGATTGCTGCTAAAGAAGTTAACCACAAGGGTCAGGGTATGTACTGTTCTTTATATAAACCGGTGTACCTAAAACTGCTCATCGCTTGATTTCTGCGACGTGTGATGATTTAATTTGGGAATCAAGGGTGCATAATATTACCTTCGCTTGCTCGCTGCTGTTTGGTGACAGAAAATGTTTGTTCCCTTTCTTCCCCATCCTTTGAGGCTCATTCTGCGGTGCCCCCTGCACTGCACCCTTCCCCTCCACCCCACGTTAGCTCGACAGATTGTCTGTCTTTTCTCTGAATTTTCCATTAGTTGGATGGCTAAAGTTTTATGTGTAAATATTTCTGTGCTGGAAACGATGACTCAGGGAGTCAGCTCTTGTGCCCTTGAGCTGTAGATTTTGGCCTCCTTGTGCTGAAGGAAAGGATATTCTCTTCCTTCCCTTCCTTCGCCTTATTTTTCTGTTTTGCTCGTGCTGTTTGGCTTCGTTTCAAGGAGACCAGGACATTGCTCCTGCCAGCACTGTGCCTGCCTGAGCGCAGAGGTGGGAAGGATGGAGCCAGAGCAAGGAAACCGTGCTCGTGCCTTTTCTGACGGGCTGCTCCTGCACTGCTCCTAATGCAGTGTACTGGCTCTTAGCATTTTCTTGGAAGCCTGGATTAATATGGTTTTATGCAGGCTGATGTGGAGCTTCCACCAAACAGTGTATGTGAACATCTGTATCACTTACAGGGGGTATCTGAACAATAGACCCAAGGAAAAATATCCTTTTTTATTGATTTTTACTAAGTAAAAGCAAATAATTTATTTATTTTAAACTACTCATTGGCTGCACAGGAGAATTTACATCTGCTCTCCTCTCCAGTTTTCACCTGCAGTCAATGTGTATTGAGAAGTCGGAAGCTTTTTAGCTTCTTTGATTTATTTTGGATTCCTTCCCTAAGAAAGGCACCTAAGGAAAAAGGAAAGGACTAAGTCAGTGTAGGTACAGTTCTGGTTTAATGAAAGAGCAGCTGTTAGAACCATCTCTGGCAATAAGCCTTCTGTAAGATGTTTTAATAGAAAAGAAAGCTGGCTGCCAAATGCTTACAACGTGAATGTGTAGTAAATTGTAACAGGCTAACCCACAATTTGGTTTATGGATGAATAATTTTGGGGTATTTTTCTTAGATCTTAATTTTAAGATTTTCTTCTGCAAATTGCTGCTGTAACTGTTTCATGCTTAAACTTGATTGCCAACCACTTCACCAAGTGTAAGTCTTCTTTGAGGTGTTTTTTTTTCCCTGTTTCTCTTTGGTATCTTTCTTTTCCCTGTAACAAGTGTTCCTGATGTTAGCTGGCAGGCAGCAGCGTTTTAGTGGCTGCTTCTGCTGCTGAAGAGAAAGATGGAAAGCTGATGCTGTAGATTTCTTTTTTGCTCAGTGCAGTGAAAACAACTTCTGGGGGTGGTGGGGATGGATCAGTTCAGGGTATGTATCTGCTCCTGGTGCCATCTTTGGCATCTTGGTGTTGAACGGTTGCAGTTCTCCAGTTTTTCCTTTCAAATCAGCGTTGCCACTTCTCTTTCATCCTGTAAGAGATTAAACATTTCGCTAGAAGAACTCACGAGGGTTCAAAGGGATAGATACCAGCTTGAGGCAGTTCTGCCAATGGCTTAATAAATGTATTTCCGTGAGGCCCTTGATGCAGGACTTCAGGGATAAGAGAAGTCTCTTTCTTCTTGTCAGTTCTATGGTCTTGCTAACCTGATCTGCTCCTGAACGGAGATCTGTTGTATTGAAATTTTTTGACTGTGGGTACGTGTAAAGGGAAACTACACACACCTGCCAGACTCCTCCCAAGATGCCTTCTGGATGGTATTTCTGCAAAATGCACGGTACAAAGGCCTGAATCCTTATCTGGCACAGATTTCCAGTTTCCCAGGTTTTTTATGAGCCAGTCAGATTCCAGGTGAGGATTTCGTAGTTTTCCAGAATGTCTGATATAATCATACTTATGTGTGCTGCAGTCGTGTTTCTGCTTGAAGCAGTGGGGTTGTTTTTGAGTGTTTTAAGATACTTTAATTATTTTTTTTTGTAAAGGAAAAGCAGTTACCTTAATTTATGTTCTTATGCTTTAGAATGCATAAAAATAACCTTTAGTAACTAGAAAAAGACCCCATTAGCTTAATAACTGTGGTTTTTATGCAACAGGTTTGTGGGTGACTTTGAAACTTCTTCCAGGAGATATTCATCAGATTAGGAAAGAGTTTCCACACTTAGTGGATAGGTCAACAGCCGTAGCTCGGAAGATGGGGTTTCCTGAGATTATTATGCCTGGTAAGCCATTGTGTGATTTAATGTCTCTTTGTTCTGTTATAAACCTTCTTTAAATATCTCTGTGTGTGGAAGCTTTGGGGAAAACAACAACAGCAAAAAAAGATGTACATTAAAAAAGATGTCCATTAGAAATAATGGATTATCAGGGATTTTGTCTTGCTTAAAACAAATGTAAAATATTTTGATAATACTTGCCACACGTGCTCCATCAATAAATGAAACTAACACCCCCCTCAAAAGATGTAATATCACAGTGACAGTGGAAGTTGTCCTCTTCTTCCAGTGCACACTTTGTATTATCTCCCCAGCAAAGGCATACATAAAACTTACGTCTCCTGCGATGAATCCAGACCAGAAATTTTTTTTCAGAGGAACGGGTTTGGTTTAGAGATATGCAGGTCTCTTGGGATTTGTACTAGATTTGGATAATGTATTTGAAAGGCAGCCTTTTGTCTGTTTTGGTGCATGTATGCCGTGGATGTTCAGTTATGTTGTTTACAAAAAAATAAAACTAAACCCAAAACATGGTGCTTCTCAAAATAAAAACTGCCATAAGCAGCAGATTAGAGAAGAAACGCTGCACTGTCATTTTCAGATTGATGGGCTCTGGAGGACCCATTAGGTATTTTCAAAACACATCCCGGTTCCAGCTCTCCTGGTGATTGCTGACTGTGCTGTCAGATGTTTTACTGCACGCCCAGCGTGGTGTCAGTGCCTCGGCACCTCGTCTTGTTATGATTGTACGGTGGCATGTCTGCCTTAAGGAAATTGTTGGGGATCCCATGTCCCCAATTCATTTTCAAAGTCACAGTTGAATTGGGGTGGTAGCTGGAAGAGGGTTTTAAGATATAAAGCTAAAAACAAGCCTCTCCTGCAACACCAAGCCAGCAAAAGTATCAAACCCCTTCCAGATGTAACAAGTTAGACCAGCTCTGTATGTTTTTAAAGGTTTTGAAATTGCAAAATATCTATGTATGGGATAAGTTAATGACTGTGTTGAAACTCACCCTTTCAAATTAATAATGAAAGAAGTTATGTTATAAAAAAAAATTTAAAAAAAAGGAGGTGAAACTGAGGTATTTTTTGAGTGATGCAGCACGTACTTTTAATGATGCTGTGGTATTCCTTCAATCCAGAAATGCTGTGCAGTTTTTTTGTTTGTTTGTTAGATTCAGCTTGCTGCTGTCTTGAGTCGGTAGCTCCGACTTTAGAAGTCTTAGCACGATTTTAGTTAAACGGCTCTTTTTGGTGCTACTAACTTTGAATGCTCAAGATACCGTGGCTTTTCAATGTTTTGCCCTGTGTGATTGCTCTTACTAAAATGGGTTGGTGGTGTTTCTGTGTGTCATTGGTTTCACAGACTGTGAAAACTGCTGAGAACTGTGTGCTTTGCTTTTCCTTTTAGGGGATGTTCGTAACGACATCTATGTAACGTTGGTTCAGGGAGATTTTGACAAAGGCAGTAAAACAACGGCAAAGAATGTAGAAGTTACAGTATCTGTTTATGATGAAGATGGCAAAAGATTAGAGGTATTGCAGTATTTAATCTCTGGGGATTTTAGATTCTGACACACAACTGTTAAAGCCTTTTCAACATCTTTCTCTATTTGTCAACCAAAGTCCCTATTTTTATGTACAACACAACTTTCTCCTTTGTCATAACTCAATACGTCTTGTCGTATCAATGCACGCTCTTAGATACTAATTTCATGAGGAGCTCTCAGCATGAGCCATTCCCTCTTGTATTGACCTACTTCACTGATTTTTATTATTGTTTTTTATTTGACTGAAAAAGTGGAGATTAAGATAGACATCAACATTTTCTCTTTTGTTTGTGTTTTCAAGAGCGTTATTTTTCCTGGCGCTGGTGATGAAGCCATCTCTGAGTACAAGTCAGTAATATATTACCAAGTAAAGCAGCCTCGTTGGTTTGAGACTGTAAAGGTATATAAACTGTTGCAATATCTTCCTCTCTGGGGATTAATGTGCAATTAATGGAGATTTCAGTGGAAAGCCTGGATAAACCAAACTAAGGCTTTCAGAGACTACTGGAGAATAATTTGACTTCCATTGCATCCTAACTTTCAGCTCATCTTTTTGGTCAAGGCGACTGTTGTGGGGGAACTCCAACATCTGTGTGGGAATGGTTTACTCTTATTTCCATGAAGCTGACCTAAAGAAGCAGGATATTAAAATTAAAATATAATTACCACCGTGTTGAACTCATCGGTGGTTTGGGATCTGGCTGATTGTGCTTTAAGCTTGCTGAATTTGCTTGGGTTAGCATTTTAGCTTAAATGCCAAGTTTTAATATTACAGAGGAGGCCGATGATAGCTTTATAAAATACATTCTGTCTAGCTGTAGTCAGTGGGAGCAGTATCCATGTGCTGAGAAGGGACTCACAGCTACTCCCCACTCTGTAGTTTTAAGTCCAAAGGTGCTCTTGTGGCGTCTGTAGTCAGAAAGTGGCTGCTAGGGAATGGCAGGAACCCAGACGTTGTGTTGGGAGCCGTCTAGTGTGGGTGTAATTAAGAAAATACGATGTCTTTAGCAGACATACTGTGGGAGAAGAGCATTGGCAACATCTCTGTGCATTGGTTACGTGGAGCTCAGAGACATGCTCATAGTGTGTATATGTATGTACAAGGAAATACGTACGTAGTACAAGGTTTGCAGAGACCACCGATACAGTAAGAATTTTTACTTTGCTGCTGAGAATCAAGCTCACCTCTGCCTGTCAAACTCGAGGGGCTCATTCCTGAGCTCAGGGGAGCGGTGGGGCAGGCTCTGAGGTTACAGCCCAACATCTGAAGGTGCAGGTCCTGTGGGGTAACGTAACAGGCTTGCTTGGTCCCTTCTCTCTTTCTTGGAGCAAGAATTGGCGATTTTCCTGAGGGATCTGTGACCTTCAAGGTCTTCTGTGGCAAATGAAGCTGGTACTTAACATTAATCTTTTTGAAAGCACCAAGCGTCTTGCTGAAAGGTGTCTAGATGAGCTTTGGTAGTGGTTGATGATGTTTGAAGATCCTGTACTGACTGTTTTCTTTCTCTGCCCTCTTTCCCAATATGTGAAGGTCGCAATCCCCATTGAAGATGTGAACCGCAGTCATTTAAGGTTCACATTCCGTCATCGATCATCACAGGACTGTGAGTAATTCAACCTTTTCATTATGGTCCTTGTCAGTGTCTGGTGCCAAAATCTGCTGAAACAGGCATAACGTTCCTAATCTGTAATGGACTATTGTAATAGCTTTTAGCATGGGGATATATATTTTTTTCCTGCTTATTTTATGTTAGCTTCTCAG